ATATATATATATATATATTTGATATTTAACATATATAATATATAATAATATATAATAAAATTATAGAAAAATATTATAATTCTTAATTTTTAAATATCAAATAAAAAATATTTTTATGTATAGTTTTTTATTTTTATAAAATATTTTTTCTCAAAATCGAGCTCGAGCCGAGCCGAGCTCAAGCTTATGAATTTTTGACTCGAGTTGAGCTCGAGCCTTGTACTATTGGGCTCGGCTCGGCTCGGCTTGAATCCACTCCTAGGGGTGAGCATTCAGTTTAATTGGTTAAAAATTGAACCAAATAAATAAAAAATTTAGAAACCAAACTAAAAAAATTAAAGCCGAACCGAACCGAATTATAGAAAAACCGAAATAATCAAAACCAAAAATTTTGGTTAAAACCAAATTTTAATAATATATACTTTATTAAATATATTATAATATATAATATATGTTATATGTTATGAAATCAGATTTTATTATATTATATATTAATATATAAGTATATAATATATTATTATTATTATATGTTACATATTATATATTATATACTACACATAATAATAGAAAGTTCGGTTAATTCAGTTAACCGAATTTCTAATTCTAAAACCGAAACCAAAAACTGCATTAATCAAAAGTCAAATTAATTGAACCAATTTAACCAAAACCTGAAAAGACCGAACTGAAAAAACCAAAACCAAATTTTTTTATTCGATTTTTCATTTTAACCGAATAATGTTCACCCCTATGGGGATGTTTGGAACTGTGGCCATTTTTCAAAAAAACGGTGTCACGTCGGATCCACATAGGCGTTTCAACAAACATCCATGTATCTCATTGTTTGGTTCAACCGATTATTAAAAAATTGGGCATGCCTTAAAAATCGGGCCCCCACTGATGCGTGAAATGCCAATGCATCGGTGAATTGCTTCCCCCAATGGTTGACTGATATAAATGTGGTGCTTACCTGTCATCACATATAAATGATGATAATAGTCACCTTAACAAACAACATAGTGTTACTCACTACTTACTTGGCAAAAACATTTTTTTGTGAAAAACAAGTTTTAGAAGATTGAGCGTTTTTTATTAAAAATCAGTCCCAAAAAACGTATACGCTTCCAAACAATATGTATATCGTGCATTAGAAACTATCTCCCGTAAATAATAACACGTAAATACGGGAGATGTTCCCACTACACGATGGGATGTACCTGTGAGATCGGTGTGAAGCGACCTGTGTGAAGAGCAAATCCGGTCTTGGGAGTTCGAAACTGAATCTGATGGTAAAAACGTGTTGGAACGTATTGGGTTGGGAGCGGATCCGGACTACGGTCACATGCCAACGATGTGACCTCTCCCGATCAAAATCCAGCTGGACGCTTTTCTGTTACTAATGATGAATTTACACAAACGCCCCTATGAGTTTTGTTCTTTTCCTTACGAAATTTCTCAAAAATAGCCTAGAAAGATTCGATGGTCCCCTTCCGTATACCACCAATAAGGAAAAACCATCATCATGGTCCCTCCTAAAACAATAAATTATGATCATCGTAGATCTCGTACGTGGACCCCACAGACTTAAGTGGGTCTCCCCCCTTAGAACTCTAAAACGTCGTCTGATAGGAGAGGCGGACCCCTAGATCAAATAGCTTGTCGTATGACGAAAATACCCTCGCGATTAATTGACGCAGACGCTGTTGACATTCTGGGGACATTCTTATGTCGAGTGAATTTTATAAATTCTTCAGAAAAAATATTTTGGTAACTAGATTTAAAAAAAATGGAAGGGTATATTTGTAATAAAATTTAATATAATTGACTGAACCTAGGGTTCTCTGTTTCCAGCATTTTTTTATTTTCGGACTCTGCCTTACCCTTCTTCTTTTAGTCTCGTCTCCTTCTCGAGACGCGACTGTAAACGAGAGACTTTGAGCTTTCACAGTAACGCACAGGACTTCAGTTCAAAGAGTTGATTTTGGGTTCGTTTTCATTGGAGTAGAGATTGGAAATCAGGTCAGAAAAAGAGAAGTTCTTGTTTAAGAAATGTCGAATGTCAGCGATTCATCAATGAAGACTTCAACTTAGTTGAATGCCATTTCCAGAATTGCGAAGCAGATAAGCTTCTTTAAAGGGTAAGTGAGAGCTTCGTTTTATCGTTTTCGACAAAGATTTAACAAGGTTTCCCACCATTCTCCTCCATTCTTTTTGTTCTGGATTTTTTCTACTACCTCAGTCGAACTTATTGACACGATTTCATCAAACTGAAATATTTCTTGGGGGTTGTGGGTTTTGGTCGTCCCACTGGTCTGTTTCCATAAACGATCTCACAGGTGTTGAAACTGGAAACCTGATAGGCGAAGAAATGGTTCTGCTTTGCTCATAACGCACCTGGGGGAGGTCTTTTCTAGGGTTTTTGTTATTTCGATTTGTTGTTCCTTGACAAGTTCTTTTTTTTTTTTTTGACTTTCAGAAATAGATCTTTTCCCTTTGTTGCTTGTTTCCATTTTCTGAGAAAGCTTGTGGAGAAGGAAAAGATTTTCTTTTCATTTAGTATTAGTCTTGGGTTTCTTGTATCCCAGAGGAAATCTCAAAGCTTCCCCGGTTCTCGTCTGAGTTGTAGACAGAGGTCGCCATTGGAGGATATCTTCCCCTGTTTTCGTCCATTGTCTTCCCCTGTTTCACGCTAAATGCAGGGAGCCGGTGAAGGGGCGACGATTTCTCGGCAATTTTGATTTTCGAGGGCAGGTACGGTAATTTCAAAATTCTCGTGAATTGGAATCGTGGTTAATTACTTAATTAGACTTCGTATCTAGCGCTCTACGGTTTTATAATGGTACATTAATCATAGATGTACGTTGAATGTACTTGGCCCCACAAAGACCCTCCCACACCCCGGTCTATCGACTCATCAGACGGTCCTATTTTCATTTGGCCGACATTTTCGTTATGTGGTCAATCGGATATGTCCTTTCCGCCCATCTAACGGCTGAGATTAGCGTCTCTTCCTTCGCTGCGTGTACTTCACTGTATTGGTCGGTTACTCGGTTCACTTATTATTTTGTCATTAAACAGTAATTAATTTGTCTTTTCACCTTGAATTTAAATGCACTCGTTGTCTCACGCCTAGCGTAATCACCGCCTTCGTTCTGGTTATCTGAACCGTCCATTTGGCGTTACGACGTTCATTCAGAGAGTGGCCCACTTGATTGGGTGGCAGAGATTAATCGATATTTCTCGGGGAAGTATGTGTAGGGTCCACCAGCCATCATGTAGTATCTATTAAGAGTTATCGTAAGGTTGAGAGGTTGTTGGGTCGCTTCTCTCTCTGTTCTCTGTTCCTGTCTCGGTTTCGAGATGATGAAACTCTGTTCATCTTTTTCTTTTTTTCCCGCGTATAAAATCTACTTTTAGACTTGAAAAGAGCGAAAATCGGAAGCTCTGTGTGAAAAGCTGAAGAAAAATCCATGCCACCACCAGCACAGTACCACCTCCATTGGCCTCGGTCGCAGAGTTAAAGCGATATATCCTTTTCTCTGTCTGAGTCCGGCTTTTCTTCGAACACTCTCGTCTGTTCTTTCTGAAAGGCTTTTATCTTCTTCCCGTTGGAGATCACACGTCGAGATCCTTAGGCCATTATTGTTTTTAGTTCCCTTCTTTAGTATCAGCATCTGGGTCTGATTATTCATTCTGTTTCAGATGGATTCCGTTAAGCCGGCGGCGGCGAACTCGAACGTCGCCGGGTTAGTGCGCAGTTTTGCTAAAGCACTTCGCTTTAAGGCCGTGGGAGTCGCGCCTGATGATGGAGTTAAGAGGTTGAAGTTCCGGGAGGAGAAGGCAAAGAGTGGTCCATTAACAGGGCATCGATCTCAGCCTTTTGCGGATAAAGATGAAGATGAGAAGCTTCGGAATAGAGCTGCCCTGGAGGCTTTCCTTGCGACACTCTTTGCTAGCATTTCGTCTGTGAAAGCTGCTTATGCCCAGCTCCAGATAGCTCAGTCCCCTTATGATGCTAATGGTATTCAAACTGCAGATGCGGTGGTAGTGTCTGAGCTGAAGCATCTCTCCGAACTGAAACAGTGTTACTTGAAGAAGCAGATCGTTCCTTCTTCTGAGGTTACACCGTTGTTGGCTGAAATTCAAGAGCAGAAAAATCTCTTGAAGACTTATGAAATCATGGTGAAGAAGTTTGAGTCCCAGCTTAAGCTCAAGGACTCTGAGATTACGTTTCTGAGAGAGAAATTAGAGGAGTCTGATAGACAAAACAGATTGATTGAGTGGAAGCTAAATCCAAGTGGGCCTTTATCCGTTCTAGATGATCTGCACTTGTCGGGCTTGAATCCAAACCATTTTATTACGGTTCTGCGACATGTCATTAAGTCGATTAAGAGCTTTGTCAAACTTATGATCGACCAGATGGGTACAGCAGGGTGGCATATTGATGAGGCAGCAAGTTCAATTGAACCTGGTGTCGCCTACTGCAAGCCCGAAGACAGGAGCTGTGTTTTTGAATATTTTGTCTGTCGAGAGATGTTTGATGGTTTCCATCAGCCAAATTTTTCTCTTCCCGTGGAGCCATTGTCCGAAAAGAAACAAATGCAACGCCATTTCTTTGACAAGTTCACAGAAATGAAGTCTATAAGAGTGAAGGAGTTTTTGTCACGGAATCCAAATTCGACATTTGGGAAATTCTGCCGGGCCAAGTACTTGCGCCTTGTACATCCAAAGATGGAAGCTTCCTTCTTCGGTGACCTGAACCAGAGAAACATAGTAAACTCCGGCGGGTACCCAGGTACTCCATTCTTTGCTACGTTTGCAGAAATGGCAAAGAGGGTTTGGTTCCTGCATTGCTTGGCCTTCTCGTTCGAGCCCGAAGCCTCTATATTTCAGGTGAGGAAGGGGTCCCGTTTCTCAGAAGTATACATGGAGTCTGTAAACAATGATGCATTCTTCTCATCCAGCAACCCCAATGTGGCTTTCACCGTCATCCCTGGGTTCAAGATCGGCAAGACTGTTATACAGTGTCAGGTGTATCTGTCTTCAGCTTGATCTCAGGTGAACATCGGGGCGAACCTACCGCTGAACTGATGTTGATCGTCTGATGCCACCGTTGTTTCCTTTTCCTCGGCCGACCAGTACCTGACAAAGCTGCATCAGCAGTTCAGGAATCTGGGTCCACCCGTGAAGAGGGGGCAGAGGGACTCTGATCTGGAATTTGGAGCGTAGAGGGAAAAAGGTGAGCTCAGTTGCTCAGGTTGTGGGGACCCGACATGGTTTTCTGGGTTCCTCTCTTTGTTTTGTGGCGAAAAAACATAACATTGTATGGTCTTCTGTTGGAATATACGCCATTTTGTTATTTCCCTCCTTTTGGAGAGATTTTGTTAATAGCCAAGCAACCAAGCAACAACAGAGCTTGCAAGAAAACACTTTCATTGTTAACTAATCTTGGCCTAATATAAACATTTTTCTAATTTTTGTTTGTATATATGTATGTAATCGTCGAAGTGATGATGGAAATTTTTAATTGAACATCTTTTGATTTGGGATCAGCTGATGATTTACCAGTCAAAGAGTGGGGTGTCTGGTTTCTAGGTCCAAGCAGCACATTCATGGAGGTTGGGGTTCTGGGTCTGTTCTTTATGATCATATGTGTTGGTCAGGACTCTACGGTGTGTATACGGGAGGGCTTAATGCTGTCTGTAGGTGCTCGGCCTCCCTCTCTGTAGTTGTTGTTGGAGACTTGCAGGCTTGCAGATTGCGGCACCTGCTCAGCTCTCCGGGAACTGAGAATTTGAGTGGTAGAACTCAGTAGTTTGAACTCCAGAAACTGAAATCTCCTCATTCCTTTGCAATCCCAAAAGCATTACATAGCCATGGGTAGAATTGATTAGAGAGAGATATAGCGGAAGCAGGAGCATCGATGAATCCAACCTGATGTAAATTTCACATATAATTTAATTATTTATGATTATTGGGCGTATTGAGAGAAAGGAATGGAAATCGTTTCAAAATTGTTTTTTTCCTTCCGTACAAGAAATAGAAATTTCTATTCAAAAGCAAGTGAATCTAGTGTAGCTTGTATATTCATTCAGTTTCCTGAGGTGCCAAATTGCCTGTTATTTGGCTGGTCTAGTGTCGGATTATCCAAACTTGGAACCAACAGGATGTGGTTATACACCCATGTTCGACCCATTTAGAGCCCAACTGTGTAGAACTGTCCAAAAGATGTACTCACCTTAGCTTCGTCTACTAGTAGCTTTAGAAATGGATGAATGGGCTGGTGATCAGACACTTTTTATTTTTTTCTGAATGTCTGAAGCATATGGTAGAATAAATACTGATGGATGGACAGGCGAGACCAACAGTGTAAACCTGAGTCCAAGGCCCAATCCATGAACAGGTCATTGATTGATTATGGGCTGGGCCCTTCATCAGGCCCCGGTAATTCTTCTTTCGACCCATGCTATGTGTCCGTTGTATTTATGCATTGGAAATTGGGAAAAAACGTTATGGGTAAGTAACACAATTGTTTATTCTGTGCCATTATTCTGTGCCATTAAGAGTACAAAGTATTTTTATCCCATCAACCTATCAAATGAGATCCAAACATAATCACCAATAGGGGTGGGTGCCAATGGATTGGTTTTGGGTTGGACCCTCTTTAAATCAAAATCATTTTGGACGGATTGAAAGGATCAATAAGACATATAGAATTGGATCGGATCCGTTACATCCAAAATGGATTTATAATAGAATGGGTTGGATTGAGTCAATATCCTACTCTATTGATAGAAGATAATACATGTGTCAATGAACCATGTTTAGGTTGAAAGCAATCTAAATTAAAACCAATTTAAATAAATTGGACAGTTTAAACATTGAATTAGACTGACCCAAAACGATCCAAAGTATTCATTGGATTGGATTAGATCTGATGCATCTGTAACGGACTCATATTGGAATGAGTCAGATTGTACTAAATCCAGTCCAATTAACACAATACCCTCATTGACCAATATAGCGCCGACGTATCATTTCATCACAACAGACACACAACACCACGATACCATACCAAATACTCTTGTTTTTTGTTTTTTCTATTGTCTACCAAAAAATATTTGATGACGTCATGTATGCTATTACAAGTTAGAAAAGAAGAGATGTGATGTTATGTGCCCCAGCAACTCAGCAAATCCGTATTTATAAACGTTGCTCTGCTTGCCTATTATTTGTCTCATTCATTGATTGAGATTCATAAACGTCTTCTTTCTACTTATAAACCGGTTCAAGTGACCAATACTGGGCATTTGGCTATATCGAACTTCGAACCCATGATGAACCAGTTGAACCACATGATGAACCAGAGCGGCAACCCATTCAGGAGGTTGGGCCGGGAGCTAAAGCCCTTTGCAAATTTGAATATTTATTATAAATTGCATATGAGTTCCACATGATTTGTTAAGAAGGCCCAGATCCAGCTTTTGGGAATTTGGATGCATGGCTTAATGCTACGTGCATATTATTAATTATTTGCACCAGCTCACCCACTCACCATTTCCTTCATTTACGTGGTTGGACATTATTGTACCTACTTTTACATCACCCACCCAAAAGCACCAAAGACCCACCGTAAGCAGTTAAGGATTTCGTGCGGATGCACAAGTATTTTGTGAAAAGCAGTAGGGGTATTTGGGTCAATAAAAGTGTTATTCTATCACGTTCTATTACCAATATGTCCTCCCATTTTGCTTTGGGCCAAATGTTGGCACCTCTAGCTTTCACGAGAGTACAATTGTTGGAGCTTCTCTGCTTGCTTTAAACATCTGGACCATTAGGGCCGTGAGGGGTTAGGTGGCTGATCCATCAATCTCTGAAATAAGTCCAAAAGTCCCATTGGACTGCACTGGGCTTCACTTGACCTGATGCTTTGAGATGTGTGAGGGGGTGCTCACTTTTAGGTGGCTTTGTTTTTCTTTCTTTCACCTCCACACTTCACTTCTTGCTGCTCACTCGAAGCAGATTCATGATTTTTTTTTTTCCTTGTTGCTTGTGAATTTTCCATTCTAGTCTCATCTTGGTGCATTGTTTTTTTCAAGAGTTTATTCAAGGGAGTCTATTCCTAGGGCAATATAGTTGGCCCCTACCTGGTTGGAGGACATGCCTCCAATCAGTCTTGATTTTCAGATTTAAACACTAAAACCTAAACCCTAAATATAAATCCATAAATCCTAAAACCCTAACCCTATATCTTAAATCCTATGGTTTAAAGTCTAAACTCTAAAACCTAAATTCATAAACCTCTAAACTTTAACTCCTAAATTTTAAAGTCTAAACCCTTAAATCCTAAAACCTAAGTCCCTAAATCTCGATTATCAAACAATCACTAAATCTTAAATTTATTGTAAAAAATGCCTTCGATAGGACACATGCCCTCCAATCGAGTAGATGCCAAGTTTTTTTTTTTCATCCTATGCATTGGATTAGGATGTTTTAGGAACACTTAAGTAATGGGTCCCACCATTGAAGAGTAAATGGGCAAAAAAAGTAAAATAAAATAAAAAAAAACAAATCAGTTCAAAATTTTATTGAAATCCTTCGTCTTGCAAACAAATATTGAAGTTCCACTTGAACTATTTTAAAGTTTCATACATAAATTAGATAGTCCAAAAAACATCTGATCATGCACTTTTTTTGGTGTGGGCCCTGTCTTAGGTAGATGGCTGGAAGCCATATTCCGCAAGCCTAGGTTGTTATAAAAAACGAAGATTTTTTTTTTTGAAAAGAAAATGAAAAAAATAATAAAACAAAGAATGAGTTAAAAGGGAATTCGACAATCTGAATGATTTTGTTTTCTATTCTAAAATAAAAATAACTGCTGTCAACAAAAATGTATTATTTTTTTTTCTGACATGACAGGCATTTTTGTTTTAGAAAAAAAAAAAAAAACTCATTGTTGTATACCCATTGTTTTAAAATCCGGTCATGTTGTCTTTGTTTAATATTTTGGTGATATGCGGGGAGTCTAGATATCCTACACATTTATTCCTATACATTTCCCTGCACAACCTATCAAAGTGAGACACGTTAATGCCATACGGGTTAAAGAATTTGTACGTGCGAACAATTTTACCAGCATGAAATTACTTTCGTTTCTTTGTTTTTCAAAATTTTTATTATTTAAAATTCATTGAAACAAAAAAAGAGGGAGCCATTGATAAGTTCCAGGTAACGCTTTATAGAATGTGAGTGTGCAACAAACTATCATCGATAGCAGAATAAAAGTGGTAATCTGAAACCTGTCGTAATAGAGTTTTTGTTGAAAGACCACGAAAGCTTCATGGAATAATTGCAGAAGATGTAAGATTGGATGGATAAAAGAAAGAAAAACAGGGGCAGAGTGATGTTGGGAGAAGAAGGAGAGAGAGAGAGAGGTTATTATTTATAATATTATCTGATTGGGTTTGGGATTGAAAAAGCCCGAACCTAACTCAGAAAATAATCAGTCGTAATAGTTATTAGTTACGGCCTGAGGCTGAACTTGCGGGCAAATCTGATGGGCTACCAGCCCGTATAAAGAGGTCTATTCACCAGTTCACATGGTTCCTATACTCATATGGAGCGTTGGTCAATAGAAATCCCAAATGGCCCAACTCAAAAGATGGAAACTTTTAACTCATGGTGCTACCTTATTCTAAGATGGTGACGGTGCAAATACATTCCGTGCTTTTAATCCAATTCAAGCTGAACAGAATTATTCAATGGTCACTGCTGATCGCTTTTGGTCCCAAATCCTTGGGATTGCTTTTTACAATAAACGTTGGTTACGTTTCTTTATGTTATTTGTATCAGTAACCGGTTTATGGATGAGTGCTCTTGGAGCAGTCGGTCTGACTCTGAACCTACGTGCCTATGACTTCGTTTCCCAGGAAATTCGTGCAGCAGAAGATCCTAAATTTGAAATTTTCTACACTAAAAATATTCTCTTAAACGAAGGGATTCGTCCTTGGATGGCGGCTCAGGATCAGTCTCATGAAAACCTTATAATCCTTGACGAGGTTATGGCTTAAGGCCATCTGTTGGGTCATGGCATGGTTTTGAAATATGGATCGGACCGGGCAATTGGACTGTTTGACTTAGGAATCAGTAATGGTTCTGGGTCTGGTTTTCTATTCAAAATATGTGTTGGGGGTTTGAATGAGACAATTAAACCATTTGACTTAGGAACCGGTGGTCAAAGTGGTTTTATTTTTGAGTCAATTTGAATCATACGACGGTACCACTGAGCAGTATTAGGTCTGTTGAATGATATAGATCCTTTGAGTCTTGATCTCCAATCAATAAAATTGTGTTTGGTATCATTGTCGCTTCTACTTGTAACGTTTTAGATTTGTCAATACAAATTTTATGATAATATATTATTTGATACCATTGTTGTTTTTTTTTTTGAAAAATACATTAGAATTGGTGTTTCTATTATAAATGGCAACACTCAATTCAATGCTTATATTTTTTAGTAAAATGGTTATCTGGCATGATGTGACAAGAGAAT